AGAGAAACACGCTGCCCCCCTGAGGCAAAACACAGTAACTACGTTAATACTGAAACGGAATAGAAAGGGTGTCTTGCCTTGGTTTTCTGCTTTCATCAAAACTGAGTGAAATATTTTGTCGAGAGGTAAAACAGAGACTAAAGGCCATTTCACACAAAGCTAGATTTTTTTTTGTACAAACGAAGAAATGTATTTCTTTGAAGGCTTGCATACCAAGTCCGACAAAGTCGCATTGTCTCATATATCATGTTTTCTATTCATAGTTTACACTTTTTTTCAATGATGCAGAAAATGCAGACAAAATCATGGAATTGAGGCATGAAAATGGCATTTACTTACTTATAATAGCGGAATCATGGAATTTGCAGATATTGTGTCGGTATTAGATGAATTTTGTATAAATACATAGTATAAAATACCCTTGCAGTAGGCATAACCAGGCTTTTTAAAAGGAAGGAGTCTTTTGATAAATTCCATTTTAAGTTACAAAGTGCAAAAATTTTGATACATTTTTGATAAATTCCATTTTAAGTTCCAAAGCAGACCATTATTTACGCCTACAAGCTAGACATGGTCATTTCATTTCCTTTATTCCCTGGTATAAATTGTATATTTGCCTTGAGGACTTTTGAAAGTGCTTAATCTTTAGACTATGCCAAATGTGTCAGCAGTATGAATAAAACAAGAAAAAAGTTTACGATTGTTTGTCTGTAGCTGAAGTTTTTCAGGCAAATATTGGTTAAAAATAAAACAAAATCCGAAAAAGATCAAAATTAATCTGAAAAAAAAAACTGAATTTGGAAGAAAATAAAATTTGAAAAATCATTCATTGGGCCCTAACAAATTTGTGTTATTTTTTTCATGTCGCATTTTGTGTGAAACTTAATAGACCCAATTTCGGTCATAACTCAGATTTTATTAGAGAGTCAGTTACCGTATTTTACTTTTGTTGGCCACCACTAATTCAGCAAATATAGAGACATCCATACAAATCATGGCTGATGAAAGTATCAAGGAATCTCACACAACTATAAACTCAATAACGGTGATCGACAGAAATGCCAGTTCATGACTCTGACGTTGATCCTTGATAATATTGGAAATGCAACATCAGTTCCCCAGTTGAGTCCACACCGGCCAGCAGCTGCTGGGCTCACCTCTCCTTCTCAATGGCCTCCAGGTTGGCGCGTCCATCGTACCCAGGNATCAGTTCCCCAGTTGAGTCCACACCGGCCAGCAGCTGCTGGGCTCACCTCTCCTTCTCAATGGCCTCCAGGTTGGCGCGTCCATCGTACCCAGGTGACGGGAAGACAAGTGTCACCCCATGCACCGCCATGCACATGCCTCCGCCGACGGCACCGAAGGTGTGGTACAGGGGCACCGGCACACACACTCTGACCTGAGGCTGGGGCGACAAGGGGTCAAAAGGTCAAGCGAGGCCCAGAGGCTTCCGTGCAACTTGACTGGGCCTCACGGGGTGTAAACGTAAATAAGAGATCTACCCGCCAGTCAAACCCCAAGCGTCGGCCAATGAAGTAGGAGTTGTTGATAATGTTGTGGTGAGACAAAGTGGCACCTTTGGGATTCCCGGTTGTTCCCTGTGAACAGAGACACACAGGCATGACTAATCAACAACCTATGCATGAAAAGCCATTAAAATTGAATACTTCCCTTTGTAAAGTCATAGTGTGTGTGAATATAAATCAGAAAATGTAAATATATAAGAGGAACTACGAGCAGGTATAATTTTCATCTGCAAAAGCTTTAGGTTAGGATTACTCAGTTATCTATTCCACTTTCAAAACTTTTGCACTCCCTTTCTCAGGGAGTAGCCGTTGCTGTGGCAGAACAGCTCATCCCAATGGTGACTAATGTCACTCCTTTCAATGAGCATATTATGAGACTCAGACTAAGGCACCCTCTGGGGGGGTTGTCTGTTGTCTCGATGTATGCTCCAGCCGCGGTGAGTGATGTCTCAATGAGGAAGACATTTTATTCTCAACTTCACTCAGTGGTTGATGGTTGGCCATGAGGTGACACTCCTCTGGTCATGGGTGACTTCAGTGTGACCACGGGCACTGAAAGGGCTGGCTGGCAGAGCTGGCTATGAGGAATGTGTCAGTCCCCATGGGTCCAGGGTGGAAGCAGCTCCACGAAACACCTAGCTGTGGCAGATAGATGCCCATTTCCAGAGGGTGGGACTGGGCCGCACGTCAGCCTGGGGGGGGTTGCTAACCGGGATCCCGAGGTGTTTCGTCATGCGGTCGGTAATAGTGTATGCTTCTCAGTCTAACCTGACCCCACTTGCTGTTTAGAATGCATTGCTGATAAAACAATAATAATAATAATTCTTTATTGATCCCCATGGGGAAATTCCAAACAAGCTTTTGATTTCAATCTAATTGATACCCAGTTACTAAAAGGCCACACATCTATCCCATTAAGCACAGAATGGTTACAAGTTAGGTGAGTGTCCTGGTCGAGTAGTACTGTTTGGAGACCCCTGACCTAGTGTATGTAGTGTATATATGTGTATGGAAATATGGAACGAGTTGGAATTCAAAATGGAGAGTTTCACGGTCCACCCAGAAACATGCAATGCATTCAGTGTCTGCCATTTGAACTACATCAAGACGAGGACGTCTCCATGTGTCCCACTATAACAGGAGCGGAAGTACGTGCAGTCCCGCTTAGGATTGCAAGGACAAACTACTTCCATAAACTTGTCCATAAACTGCTTATTCACAGTCATTTTGGTTTGTAACATTTGTTTTTAAATGTATGATGCGTGTTAGGAAGTTTCGTTTTGTTATGTTCGGCTTTCTGAAAACTACAATATTGCGTTTGACCATGTAGACTTAATACAGCCCTCCAGAGCAAGTAGAGAAAAATGCACTTAAGTGAGTGGTAGGATGCACTAAATGTTCATTTACATGCGACATGCCCATATTTTGGTGTAACTCCGCCCAAAGTGCATATCTAGCCCCAGACTTGAATGAAAAGGAGAATGTTCTTAAGTGAAAAAAGCATACCGCTATGCACTTTTTTGACTTAAGTGCAAGGGACAATAGACCCCTCACTCTTAATTTGGACCCTGATCTGCTATTGTCAGTCTTCCTTCAGCCATATTCCTGAGTAATCAACAAGGCAAATTTTAATTGATGCTTTCCAGAAATCGAGTAATCCAGTTTAAATCGAGTAATTGTGACATGTCTAATCTTATGTCTGTAACCCACCCCCCCCCAGGACCCCCTACCCCTACAGATTCCCTTTTCCTACGGCAACAGGGGTACCGATGTGAACTGGATGTTGATGGGATCGTCGCAGGACAGCTTCTTCTGCAGGGACTCCAGCTCCTTCAGCTCCTCACTGCCCCCTGCCTGAAAGACGTCGTCCATGTGGAGCGCCCCCGGCTGGCGGCTGTCAGTCAGCACCACCATACGCATGTCCGGCAGCCTGGGACAATGAATCATGTGGTGGGGTGGAGGTTGATTCACACATGGTCTGCCTACCCCAAGCTTGCCAGTGTCTCTGTCAGAGGTATGTGACTTGTCGGTTAAGAGTGTGTGACCAGAAGGCCACAGGTTCAAATCTCATGGATGGCAGAGTGATGTTACTGTTGGGCCTTCGAGGAAGACCCTTAAACCAATTTGAGGGACATTGGTTGACCCTCATTTATGCGTCCTTCTGGACAAGAGCATCTGCTAAATAAATGTAAATATGCCAGATAATGTACAGTATTATTCATAAATGCAGTGTTATTATTGTTTGAGTTAGCATGTCACAGCTGGCCCATGTTTGCTCATCTTTATCATTTTGTTGTTGTTTTGTTGTGTTTACATCAGCTACTGCAACTATCTGCTGAATAAGCGGAAGATTAACAATCCTAATTACACTAGTCATGCATGTCTGCAGGTGTCTGTGAACACAGGATGTTCACATCAGCATCTCAAATTTTGTTTTTCCTTTCGGGGTGTTACAGTTTCACGTGTGTTCGGACACGAGGGTGAGAAGAGTGAGGAGTCAGCATCCCGTGTGCAGTACCTGGCACTCTTGAAGATTCCTTGCCTGGCCGTCTCCATCTCCGGGCAGATCTTCTTCAGCATCTCGTAGTACTTCTGGGTCTTGAACTGGGTCGGGCACACCACTGCGTTGCACTGTACCTGCAGCCACGGGACCACCGGTGACATCAGCCAGTGAGATTTTCATGGTGCTTTTCTGGAAACGATGCCTTTTAGCTGCCCAGCTGGGGTTCTGCTATAAGCCCAGACTCTCATAAACTCATAGAGAGTCCAAAGATCTCCACAGTCCCACCCTGTGTTTCCCCACTCACCTTCCTCAGCGCAAACTCCACCTCCTGCAGCTGATAGGCTGGGTTCACAGACACCTGCAGAGAGATTACAGGAATGTGCAAATGCACTAGTTTGAGTGCGTGACTCTTGTATTCAGGACCATTTGTCTTTTAGCACCTAATTATTGAGGGTTATAAATGTCCTACTCAATTCTGTGGATGTGCTGCTACAGAAACTATATCTGGACCAGAGAAGAATCTATTCTGACAGGCCTTTCAGAATAACTTAAATTACAGCCAAGCTTGTTATTACAGTGGATTTTCCATTCAAAGTGTTTTCACCTACAGGTGCACAGGTCCTGGAGGAGTGTGGGAACTCACCAGCACGATTCCAGCCTTCGCTGTGGCAAATTGAAACAAGATCCACTCGTAAATGTTCGGCCCCCACATGCCGAGCTTGTCACCCCTCTTCAGCCCCAGAGCCAGTAGGCCAGCAGCTGCCTGGTCCACCTACCGATCAGGCAGCAGTAGCATGATAGCTATGTAGTGTAAGGTAGCTGATTCAAGTCCTAATGTTCCCTAACCGTAACTCTATCTGTAAACCTAAAGCCAACTCTAACACTAAAGACATGCCTAACCCTAACCCCAACCCTAATCCTAACCCCAACCCTAACCCTAAAGCCAACACAAATCCTACTATAAGGAGCTGCCCATTGACCTAATGACGGAATCTAATTGGCCAGCTGTAAGCCCTGAATACATGTAAGTACTCCTAAGCTCTCCTGAAAAGTTACTTATCGTTTAAGACTAAACCTACTTAAATCTGACTCCAATTTATATAATTTAAAAATTGTTTATAAATCTTTTTGTTATCTCCAGAAAATGTAGCTTGTTCTGACTAGTTCTAGGCTCTTCCTAACTCTAACTAATCTCATTTGTTACAGGTTTGTGATGATGCACAAGGATTCACCTTTGGCCGATAATGCAAATTTACGGAAACAATGTGTCCAGTTTGGTCTTGCTTTAGGGACTGAAGGATGGTTACAAACTAGCAGCATCTGCTTGGTCGGTCAACCTGGCCTGGCGTCTCGGTTCAGCCGAATGTCTCACCTCAGAGAATCAGCCCATAAGCTCAGAGACTCAGCTTGTGTGATCACTGTAGCCCATTCAACATAGCGTTCCTGATTGACTCAATTTAGAGGCTGCGTGGAAGTTTATCACCGCAAAATATATGGTAGCCACTTCTGTTCACCCAAGCCAAACAATGGGCCAGAAATCTAGAGTCATCTGATGATAAAGCATTATGGGTATAACCTGCATTTTAGTGTATATTTAATCCTGCCCTGGACTTGGGGCCCACCACTCCCCCTGGAAGGTACTGGAGTCAGCGATTTCAGACAACCAAGAAATAATCAAAATCAGTAAATATTTGCCAGTTAAGAACAACACACCAATCACGATTCAGCAGCGAGTCACAGAGGGTACTATACTGGGCAGGGCTGATTTTCTCATTTTACCTTGTGAAAATTATCATATTTTTACTTTGTTGTGCTACTACAGGCTCTTCTGAAATGACAACGCAGCTCAGAAAGGTACTGTACACCTCGTTACCATAACAGGAAGGACAAGGGTAATTGTTTAACTATTTCAGCCCTATAAACTTGTGCAAATGAATGGTTAACAGCTACTAATGATGCCAGTTCTAAGGTCTGAAGTCAAATATGACTGTTCCTACAAATCCAGTATATTGTGTGTGTGGCCTAATGTTAGTCATTATTCACCATCTGCTTGTCAAGAAATGCACTGAGATGCCAGTAAAGGCAGATCAGGTGCACGCTGCATGTAAATATCTGCGACCTAATATGTAGCATGTCATTGTTCACTGGAGGAGGTCAAGACAATGACAATTCCCTACATGCCCAGCTCAACACGATACGACCACTGTGAAAGGCAGATGGGAAATATTGTTTTTGGACTGCAATCAGCTACTGGTAATCATTCTAAAAAGGCTTCTAGAAAAGTGTCACCCATATTTCTGGCTCCACAGTAATCTTGGGACAGTAGGGGCGTACAAAAGAGGGAACACAGATGGTTTATGAGATGTAACCCCATTTGAAAGCCCAGTTTTAAGGTCTTGGAAACAGTTCATTGTTGTGCATAAGTGATTAAAAAAGCAAAAAATTAAAGTGTTGGACTACAGCTGCAATGTATCACATAAGTTTGCTATTTCTGTGTGTGGCCCACTGAGTTAGGGTGACGTAGAAGGTCACAGGTTCAAATCCTGAAACTGGCAGAGTGATGTACCTGTTGGGCCCTTGAGTATGGCCCTTAACCCTAATTACAGGGTTCCGACTGACCCTGTATTCCCAAAAGTCCTTTTACCTTGGATAAAAGCATCTACTGTTCTTCTTCATCGTATGTTTCTGCAAACTTCCTGAGCTCTCCTTGGGCCACAGGTTTGAAGACAATGTGAAGAACCCATTAATTCAACAGCTCAGCAATTCTCATGCTGGTACATTTTCAAGAATTTCCCTCCAAGAAATTGCTCTAACCTAACATGACCTATAATCATGATGGGCGTAAAGATACGAAGTTAAATCAAAACAAATTTAAAATGTTATCTGCAAGTGCCGACATAGTTATGATGCTCCCCACCAAAAATGTAGCTTAATCTTGAAAACCAGAGGGTTGGCCGTGGAGTTCTGACACAGACAGATCCGGAAACTCACGTCCTGCTGGAACTGTGCGAAGGTCTTCCGGATGCCATCCTTCATGAACACCACGGCTTCGCGATCCGGCCAGCGGTCCACTGTGGCCTGCAGGGCCTGGGGCACGGTGCAGGAGAGGAGGGAGATGGTGGAGGTGCCATGCACGTAGCTGGTGGTGACCGTGGGTATGCAGGGGGGGGTGTCCACATGTAGGGTGCTGAGAGGGGGGTAGGAGCAGAAAGGTTTAACTTAGTCTCCAAGCATGTGATATGTGAAGGGTCACATACAGTCACTAAGTGTAAAATTCACACTATGCATAAAGATTTATTAACATTAATATGGGAGGTGGGTGTGTTGGTGGTGCCCCAGTGCCACACAGCACTGGGTAAATGCATTGGCCCCACACAAATGCAGGGTTTGAGTGCTGGTAAACACCTCACCTGACCATGCCTAGATTCTTTAGACTTTTAATTCTGTCAATGAATTTCAAACTGAAAGAGACTCAAGACTAAAAAGAGACTAGAGACTAAATATTATTACAAATAGTCCACAGAAGTGTAAACACATAAGAGACAAACAAAAATGCAAACATGCAAACAAAAATGCAAACATGCAAACAAAATGCAGACGTTCATAATTGTTAAAATCATAAATCACGTGGCTCAGTTGAGTTGTTATATTGATATTTACACCCTAGTTTATCATGAAGCAATCAAATAAAATAAAGTTCTATAAGACAAAGAGCTTGTCCTTAATTAAAAAACAGCATTTAAACAAAACCGAACTTCGGAAGTACTTTTTAATCAACACTTACCGACACACCTGATATGACAGACCTCCAGATTTCCAGAATCCCCGCAAAACTACTGCATGCTTAGAAAAATTAATCCTGGACTTAAAGCGTGTAAACACAATCCTGGCTGACATCGTCTATGTTTAGTTACTTGCTTTCGATCAACAGCACGTATAAACAAATGTAAGCAAATTAGAAAAATTCTGGAGAAAAAAAGAAAAGAAAACGTGTTCACGTCTACAGGAGCTGTGCACAAGCCTCAGTTCCTCCAAAAGGTCATGCACTGATTGCAGAAATTGCAGATATCTTTATATACCTCAAACAGGCGGGCAGAATTTCTATCTATGCCCCTGTATGTATATAATAAGTAAACAGAATAGTTAAATGCTCAAAAAGTAGATGCTGCAAGGACATTAAACAAATGTGCAATTCAGAAACATTGTATCGAACTTGGGAGCCGTCTGTAGGGGACTGCAGTGTCCTCCTCATCTGCTTCCCAGCGAAGGCGCAATATCAACAGCTTAGTAAATGATCAGACATAGCTCCTTGATTTCAGTAATATTTTTCAAATGGAGATCTAATTTTTAACCAGTTTGGGGCAGACAGGTTACCAATATATGTGCAAGATTTGTAATCTAGTAAAGCTATAGCAGTAAGTTTTTTGTTGACGCTTAGAATTGTAACTAAGCCGTATAGCATCTGTTTGTAAGTTGGCAAAGAACTTGCAGAGGACATCGAACTATAGATAGATTTCAAAAGTCCTTTCTCATTGGCCACTTTATTAGGTACACTTGTTCAACCACCCATATTTCGATCAATGTAATCAGTCAATAACATGAATGCTCACATCAACCGGGTTACCAACTTTGGTGAGCTGGCAGGCATGAGATTTTCAGTTTAAGACAATTCTGCGCACATAACAGTTTTGTTACCTTGTGTGGAAGTAAAATTGGACATTGGTAGGCCGGGGAGGGGAGGTATATTGGGTTTGTTATGTCTTAGGCCTTAGGCAAGAAGAGATTGTTTTGAATACTCTGTGACCTCGCTTCGTGATAGCTGCATGCGGTTAGTTGGGTGGATTTTACCTTGCTACTACGGTGAACCAATAGAGCAGGAGAATTGTGTTTGTTATACGTTTGAACTTGGTTTGTTGTAACTAATCAGGAAACAGAAACAAGTCCTTATTGGGAATTATGAGTTATGGTTTATCAACTGGTTGCTCTGTGTGCTGGGTGTGACTTGGTACCGTGTGCCAGAGTGTGATGGGAGCGCTTTGCTGGAATTGCTGGGATAAAAGAGATTTTCTTTACTCACCAAACTGAGAGGTCCAGACTTTTATTCTAAGTGCCTCTCTGTGTTATCAGAGAGGTTAATTTATAATTTTTCTACCACACTTGTAAATAGTCTTTTGATGTAGCTAATTTTTAGGTTTAAAATGGAATAATACAGATTTGCCGTAAGATTTCTTGTGTGAATCTGAAAGTGTGAGCGTCACGCCAGATGCGTATGAATTGACAACCCTGGGTCAAATACCAGAATGGGGAAGAAAGGTGATTAAAGGTGATACCTGTACCTCTGCACGTGGTATGATTGTTGGTGCCAGATAGGCTGGTATGACACACAACCATCTCTATGGTTCACAGAATATGAGCCAAAAAAAAAACATCGAGGAGTTGACTCTCCCATCAAGCACTTAAGTCATGGACGGGTAACTGGCGGCTTGCGGGTCACATCAGACCCCCAGCTCTCTTTTTTTCTGCCGCGCTCGCTGTGCACAAACATTAAATGTATTAATATGATAAGTATTAAATGTTTTAGAAATTAACAAAGTAAAAACACTTTGAAAGAAATACATGCACCTCATGTAGCTTGACCACTAGATGGAGCTGGAAACAGTTGCAGGGAGAAATGTAAAGCTCTAGGGGTTAGCCTAATATCCGGTTCGAACAAGAATTCAGCATGAATAATGCATTCTTTGTAAGATTAGCTGCCATCCAATAATTAATGATGAATATGCATGTCTGTCTTAAACGCTTCTTTGTGTTTTGCTGTTGGTTAGACATGAAGGTACGATGGTAGCAAAATTAGATACCATTCAGGTCAACATATCTGACTCATGTGCTTAGTTCATGTAGTTCACGTTGTGCTTTCTCTCTTCTGTGCAATTTACACTATACCTTGGTATGCCACATTTTGCCCGGTATTTTCAAATAAAATGTGTTTCTTGTTAATATACAGGGATATCTTTGAAAGTGGAGTGTTCACCATGTATTCTGCTTAATTTTAAGATATACTGTCATGTGATTGCAGTACACACAACTACTATCTCTTGAAGCTCTAAAAATTATAAATAAACTTGCTAACCACAGTTGTAACTTTGAAAAAAATGAAGAAAAAAAATTGTAAAAATGCAAAGAGACGTTGCCCTGCAGAGAGTTAGGAGATGGAAGTGAGAGATAGTGGATCGTAGCCCCCAGTAGCTGAGAGAGAAACGAACGTGGTGCCATCAGGCAGCGTAAGACCGCAGGCTTAAGGGGAGGAAGTATAGAGTGGAGGCGTGGGGAGGAAAGACGACTCAGCTCTATGATGCACAGGAGAGAGAGAGAGAGAGAGAGGGAGAGAGGAGAAGCTGCAGAGATCAGAGGAGAATGAGCAGCATGGCAGCT